GGGGGGGGGGGGTAAATGGTGAAATGTACAAAAATTTCATCCCCCCCCACAACCATGACCAAATTACGCCACTGAAACAAATAGTTCTTTGGTTGCTATTCAAACATTTTGTTCATGGTACTTTGAAATAAATGCAAACTATTAAATTATTTTGTATCTATAGTTACGACAATGCCATACCAAAAAACGATTTATGAGTTGATAGACCTATCAATTTTCCGACTAAAAATATATTTTCTTGCTTTGCTCAAAAACAGGAAAACTATTACTAATATTAGTGAAACTAATTTATAGTGAAACTAAAAATATTAACAATATTTATCATACTTTTACAACACCTGTGATCTATTCACCTAAACTACTAAAGTAAAAACATATGTATTTAGGTAAATTATATACATAATTATATATAACTTAAAATCCCAAATAAGAAAATGTAATAAGTAGATATATTACTATACCTATAATTAGTCATTGACAAAAAGGCTTCTTAACACAATGGATAGTAATTATTTGTACATTAAAGTAAAAGACATAAATATAAATTATACGATTAATAAAAAATGTATAATTGTATAATATAATTTATAATTTATAATTTATACTTAAGGTTATCTATTGGTATAATCGTATTAATTATCATTTATCGATTATTAAAAAAATTACTGTTAATATTTTTCTTTTGACACTGAAGTATTAACTAGGACTTTCAAAACAATTTGGTAAAGCACTATTCCGTACGTTTTACCTTTTTGGGTACACGATTCAGTACGATTTTAATCAAACAATGGTTAGTTAAAATGACCCCAAAAACAACAAGATTAAGTATGGTTTTCTGTGCAATTATGCCATTAGATACCTTGTTACTTGTTCCAAATATTTTATTTTATTTATATGAATACAATAGTCTTCATATTCGTTGATTGTGTGATCTAAAGAACATTGTTTGTCGATTAAAGCCATTTGATTGTAACGTTCTTTAGGTGATCTTATTTTTGTTGTTTTAAGTCTTTTCTTGTGTTTCCTTTAGAACTGATATAACCAAATGAATAGAAGGGCGCGGACTATGAAACTAGGCATTATATGTTCTATGGAAACTCTCCGATCCATTGATTTGTTGTACTAACACAAATAAAAAAATATATATGAAATATACGGTTAATAAAGGTTAATAATTATTACATTAATAGTTTAAAAATATCTACTCTATCACACCCTGTATAAAGTTATTATAGTATTACCAAGGATTTTTTGACTGCTTTTGAACCCAATTTTTTGGTGGAAATAAACGTAATCATCTTCTACGTAAGTATGGAGTATATAATCAGAAAATATAATGTAAATAATGTAAGCACACATCACTCTAATAACCTTTGTCGTTAAAGCAAGTTGATCAATAAAAAAATTCACAAATCAAAAACAGTCACCAATCCATTTACGTATCTTAAAACCACTGGTTGAGCCGAAAGAAACTTGTAAGAAATATACGACCTCGAGAGGTTGTCAAGTAGGTAGTAGTAGATGAGAGAAATATGTTATTTAAATAAAAATATAATTTAAGAACATCTATTGGAATAATCGTGAACTAACTGTTAATAACATAATAGTATAATACTGATTACCAGTATAATTTATTTTAAGTACCTAATAATATTTTACTAAATAGTTTTGAATTATAGAAGGGTAGGAAAACTGAAAAGGATTTTGAGGCTTTTGAAAACTTGTGGAAATAAAGGTCCTATAACCCTCTAAAGTACCAACTAGTTTCACTTGCATACTAGAAATGCAGCTGAAGTAGAAAATCAAAGCAATTTCCAAATGGTAATGCAACACACAAAAAAAAATAATTAAAATAATTAAAATATCATTGTAAAATACTAAAATCAATACATTCGTTGCTCCTCTCAGAATCTAATATTTTATAGTGCCAAGAATAAGTCGATAGAATACGGAGTCATAAGGTACGGTTTCCCTGCAACGTCAGACGCGAGAACAGCATGGCTGCGTCCAGACGCTGGAGGGAAAACGTACCTATACACGGCTTCTGCTAATGGCGGTTCATCAATACTGATTGTAGATAGACTCGTCTATTTTTAGAATTATTTGTGTTCAAAAATATTATGTCATCGTCTTCGTTGTTTTGTACAAATAAAAACTATAAATTTAATTATATGCAAAGATTTTTTTGAAAATAATGAAAATACTGACGATGCCGAGAACTTTGACCAAGTCCTATTTGTCGACTTGACGACCTATAAATCGTGATTCGGGGAGGTTAGACCCCCCCCCCTACTCACTTAGAGAACGGCCCTGGTTACTCTATTCCATTTTTAAAACATTTAGACTGATAAAATGTTATGCTTTTGTCTATTTATAGTTTATTCCGTATTACCAAAATACTAAATACTAATAGTAAAATAAATTACTTTAACAATTAATAGCAATTACCATTATATTTAATATTAATTATATGATAGTAGGCTGACAGGCTGACTCGACTCAGAATCGTTGTTCGTATGCAATTGCTCTCGTGTTGGAACAGCTACACGGGATCTGAACCATTTTCACAAGGTTCAGCCACTATATTGTGGCATCGTTTTAAATTTGAAACATGGCAATACTATACACTTAAGAAAACCGCTGTGTTGTCTCCGTCTTACACGATTATGACATAGCTAATTTTCGTTCAATAGTTTTAATAATGTACTGTTAGTTTTTATATTAGTCAATTTATCTATTATGAAACTTATAGGTAAGAACTTTTTTTCCGTGTTCCTTCGTTGGTTTTTTATGATATTTTGATTTCTAAGTGAATTGTGAGCATTTTCAAATTTTTATACTTTACATGGGTACTTTTAACCCACTTAAAAATTAAAATGTCATGAAAAACTGATGAGAGAACACATAATGTTCTTACCTATAAGTTTCATTATATGTAAATTCACTCTAATATCAAAACTAACAGTACACTATTGAAACTACCTATAGAAAAAATGTTAGGTTAGGCTATTTTGTATAGTGAACGAAAATTAGATCTGTCGTAATCGTGTAAGACGGAGACAACACATGCGGGTGACGATGACACGTCATGCCCCCAAAACCAATACCACAGATTAAATGAAATGATGTTTCATTTAATCTGTGCCAATACCCTCTACAACAGTTGAACAATCCTGAATCAGATATATTATCTATTTAATTTTAATTTTTAATTTTTGGCAGTCACCCTAGGAATATAGGCCAGACTCGCCGCTTTGGAATCCCTTGCTAATTGCTAACCTCGTCCCTCAGTGATCTGCCTAACCTTCTCCTCAACTCCCTTGACAGTCATGACCACCTCCCAGTGGCGGATCCAAGGGAGGGGTAAAAGGGTAAATACCCCCCCTTGAGCTTATTATATTTAAATTTTATAAATGCATTTAAAAAAAAAATGTCGGTTGAATTTTTTTCTTTTATTTTATAAAAATGTTGTCATTGATACCAGTTTGTAAGAATAAATTCTAAATGGTGAATATTAATAAGGAAATATTAAGTAATTAATGTTTATATTAATAAGTATGTTATTAAGTAGGTATGAATAGTATCTGATGGATATATTTTTATTACCCCCCCCCCCCATTGATGAATTTCTGGATCCGCCCCTGCCACCTCCACCACTTAGTGAAAGATCCTAAAATTATCTTCTGTTTCGTTTAAGAAATCCCTCATCTACTATCTAGTATACAGTGACCTAGTCAATGACGAGTACACTCGACTCTTACTGCTACAGTCTTACTATAGGTACATCTACAGAACAACAGCAGAGCGGTTACCTACATTCCACCTTGTTTATTTAAGAACCAATTTTTTTTAGTTGGATAGGGCATTGCACGATAAAATTTAATCCTAGAGTGTGTTACGAAATTGTAAAGATCACGGCAATACGGCATAAAACACATTAATCAATTATTGTTAATTAGTAACATCAGTATTATCAGAGAACAACTGGTTTTAAAATCGAGTACGATTTTTTTATTCCACAGGTGATAAAATTGAACTGATGATGTGATAAGGGTTTGTGGTATGTCGAATCGCCGAATCCGGCACTCAAGTCGGTGTCCACGACTGTAGATTAAGTATATTAAGTTAATAATTTTAGTATCTACAGTCGCGGGGCTAACTATATAGACAAATGTCAAACAAAACGAAGGTACTTTTGTTTCCATTCAGTAATTTATCAGTCCTAAATAGTCAATACATCATGTGCCCACTTGAATCATTTATTGTCTAATGACAAATCTGAATAATCTGATGATTATTACGTTTTGCTGATATCTTAAAATATACGTATATAAGTCTGAGAATTACACTTGTTCTATTATTATATTATAAGATAATATGATTGTTTTGACTTTTGAATGCTGCGAATTACAATTCAATTGAATTTAGAGATAAAATTCCAAATATGAAATCACGTATACCGTTTATTGCGTAGTTATTTTCTCATTGTGATATCATAATAATTTCTGATCGTTGGCCACAATAGTTCAATATCATATTATTATTAAGTTTGATTTGTGTTTTGTATTATTGTGTTCCACATTAAAATTTCATCAATGTCTGTCAAATTCAGTTATCAATAAATATTAAATACTACTCAGATAGTGTACTACTCTTGTTGTTAGGTATTCTAGGTAATTTGGTACAACAATGCTTAATCAACCATAGTCCATAGTACAAACCAAGTATTACATTTTATTTTATTTTAGTTACAAATTTAAGATCAAATATTTTGTTACAAGATTCAAATCTTATACATATTCATTTATCATGACATCAACAAATACATTGGAGGATAACATCAAAATGTTAGAAAAATATGTTGAATATTTTCCAGACTTCCCTAAACCAGGAATTTTATATAAGTAAATATATTTTTTACTCTAATTAATTTTTAAAGCATCTATTTTAAATTTATGTGATTATGGGAGCCTATACAAATTAATCAGATATACAGGGTGATCCAACAAGTATGCTCACCCCCTTTTTTCTTTAATAATGAAGTTTTTCAAAATCTGATTTTTGGAATCTTTAAATATACTCAAAGACCATATTATTTTTATATTCTTGAGATTTTTTGTACCACCTATGGAGTGTCCTGTGGCAATACAAACTTTTGTTTTTCAAATGGGAACCCCTCTTTTTTACTGTTAATTATTTAGCGCATAATTTTTTTGAGAATTTTGATGTATCGAAATCAAAATTCAAACGAGTGGTTTCTAAGTTATTGGATAATTTTTACTAAGGATAATAGTCCATAATAGGGATATGCTTATATAGTTCTACACATGGAATAAGAAAAATAACTAAATAAATCTAGAAGGATTTTACTTGCTATTTACCTAAGTGTTTGACTTAATAAATATAAAATGACGTATTATTTTATATTATGTGTATAGACCAGCGTTTCTCATAGTGTGGGTCGTCAGTCAATTTTTGGTGGGTCGGGAACATTTTTTTGAATTATATAGATTCCAAGAAATTTATGTTAGGTATCTCATTATAAAAAGTACATTTTAATTATATTAATTATATTTGTATTCATATTAATTATAAAAAAACTAAATACCTAATAAAAATGTATACATATTTATATAAAACAAATTTTGTTCTTCACAAATTGTTGAAAAGTGAAACAGTGTGGGTCGTGAAAGATTTTTTGGGGGAAATTTAGGTCACGGTATTAAAAAGATTGAGAACTACCGGTATAGACTATAGATAACAACGTATACTGTATAAGCATATCCTTCTTCTCTATTATAAAGTATATTATCCTTAGTACAAATTGTCCAATAACTTAGAAACCACTCGTTTGAATTTTGATTTCGATACATCAAAATTCTCAAAAAAATTATCCGCTAAATAATCAACAGTAAAAAAGTGGGGTTCCAATTTGAAAAACAAAAGTTTGTATCGCCACAGGACACTCCTTAAGTGGTACAAAAAATCTCAAGAATATGATGAAAATATGGTCTTTGAGTAAATTTAAAGATTTCAAAAATCAGATTTTTAAAAAATTCATTATTTAAAAAAAAAAGGGGGTGAGCATACTTGTTGGATCACCCTGTATTATGCATTTGTTAAATTATTTACCTCTAAAAGTAAAAATGTAAAATGTATTTTTTTGGAGTTTTTCTTTTCTCAAAAAAATACTTTTAATTGTTGTAACTAATATAATGTTTACTCGCTCTACTCTGTATTTAAAGGAGTTGCATATTTTATTATTATTTAAAATTTACTTTTACAAGAACTTCATATTTATAAATGTTACAACCAATAAGTCTCATAATGCAACATTTATTACGTATGCAATTATGAGTGGAATGAAGAACTTAATAACTTTTTCTTACATGAATTATTTATTTTTATAATCTTGTTATAATTGTATGATAGTAAAAAATATTTAAGATGTTTTTCTGTTTTTTTTTTATAAATTTTCATTTAAAATCCGTAAAACGCACTGTACTTGAAGAGCTAAATTGTTTAATATTGTAAAAGCAAAAAACCACAGTTAAGAAATGTAATTATCTTAACATAAAGCAAGGAAGTATTGATGGTATTGTACGATTTGTTTATTGTATGTAATTGTCCATCATTATTATGGACCATTATTTGGTAAGCAAAGATTTGTACAGAATTTTTTTGTTTTTAATATTACTATTACATTTTAAATCATTAACCACAGTAATTCTCAAGCTCTTTGTGACCATTTCACACTTTAAAATTTAAATATTTTAAATATTACAGTTCATTTATAGATATTATATTTGTATTTTGCAGGGACATATTATCATTGTTAAGCCATAGTGATGGAATAAAATTGTTGGAGACAATTTTAAAACAAATTGCCAATGAAATGCGTGGTAAAGTAGACTGTATAGCAATGTTGGAGACTCGTGGTTTCATATTTGCTCCAATGCTTGCTTTACATCTCAATATACCATGTATACCTGTTAGCAAAAAAGGAAATTTACCAGGTCCCGTTATTGAGATGTCTTATATTTTGGAATATGGAGAAGTAATTAATTATTATTATTTAGTTGCCTTCATCAAATTAATCTGTTTAAAATGTATCACAATATTTTTTTGTATTTAAACATAGGATATTTTGACAGTACAATCGAATAGTATTATAAAAGGACAGAAGATATTCATAGTCGATGACTTTCTTGCAACTGGTGGTATAAACAACTTATTACTTTATACAATTTATATTGATTTGATCTATAATAAGTTATGGTACAACAGATTTAAATAGACATATTCACAATATGTTAGTACTATAGATAGTATTAAATATTTCTTTACTAGAATTTGTTGGAAAAATTCTAGATCACTAGACACCTATTGTTTCTTTTTTTTCATATTTTAAAACACAAAATGTAAATTAAAACTATTATCAGCTTATTCGTAGTAACGTCTATAAATAACTATTTTTAAGTTATGATCAAGTGTATGAAACTTTGTAAGGACTGCTAATAAATAATTCTATTGTGGGTAATGTAGTGATGTTGAGTCAATGTCCCTTACTAGTTACTATTGTCTATTCCTGCTATGGTTAAATACTTTTAGAATATATTATAATTCAATGACTGACCACCTGGACCTCATTGTAGTTTATACTACCAATTTTTAACCTGGAGGTTGCGACTCCTCTGATGACCAGCTGATTACTTAGTTTTGCTAACTTCATGAAAAATCAAATTTTGATGCTAAGAGTCGTCTCTTTAAAAATTTTAAAAGTGACTGACTTATACAACTTATTATGAGAACAAGGCTGAAAATTATTTTACATTTTAGTCATTATAAAAAGAAAGCTACCTAACCTAACCTTTATAAATAGTTATCATAAAACTGTCAAAGATAATTGATATAATTATAGTTATTATATTTTGCATATGATCAGCTATTAAAATCAGAGCCAATCTTAGGCATTTTGGGGCCTGGATTTAATTTTTTGATGGGGTCCTTAACTTAAATTATTAATTCAGTTGTAACATTTCACAGTGCCACGTTAATAATTGATTATTAATTGGGCCCAGGGTTGCGGCCCCCCTAGCCCCCCGTCCGAGCTGGGCTCTGATTAAAATTACATAAATTAATTGTTTCTATCTTATTTATTTTTTAATAATAATTAACTACTAAAATATATTGTTATGCACATTCTAATTTCAAATAATTCAATTGCAATGTTTTTTTATATTACATAGGCATAAATTAAAATGTTTAGATATTAAATAAACAATTAATAGGTGGTGTTTTTTATATTAGATAAATAATTAAAAATTAAAATATGTATCTAATAATAGCAGTAGCATAATAATTATATGAAATTTAATCAGCAGATGAAGAGAGTACAATTTAAAAATTGTAATTCTCTTCAATATATTGCGTTCATATTCCAATTTACTTTGCAATAGGTACATTTATTATAGTTATGCAAGGTTTTAAAATATTCAACTAGTAATTTTATTAATTTAATAATTCATTATATATTTGTAAGTTTCCAATAGAGTTAATTTATTTAATTTAACTTATACTTTAAAGTTAAAAGTAAGTTTTAAGTACCTACCGAATAAACAATTTCTTGCTGAAATTGCAGTGTTCGTATGTAGCTTTATTAAATGCATTTTGATTTTTAAATAGGTACATTAGAAGCAGCTACAAAGTTAATACAAAAAGCAGGTGGAGAAGTTGTGCAAGGATTAGTATTGATGGAAAAATTAGAATTAGAAGGGCGTAAAAGATTAAATTTTCCAATGATATCATTAATGTCTGAATAATTGTTTAAAACAAACCGTTTATTTAATTTTATTTAATTTTAACTATGTGTAATAAATAATTTTATAAAAATACCTTATTATTAATAAAATCATTATTATTTAGAAAAAAAATGTACCTATGTCCTATTATATAAACATAATATAAATATTCCATTATGTTGTTGTTTTTATGATTATTGTGTAATTGATTTTATCAAAATATGGATTGATTTAGAATATTTTTTTACATTTATGGATTATAATTTAAAAGACTTACCTACTTATTAATTGTGTACAGTGCCATAGCCTGGATTTTTTTTTGAAGGCTACAATATTTTATTGTAAGAGCTAGGGTACTACCGGCTACTAGTAAGTTTGATATTTCATGAGGAGGACTAGGGGAGCTTATGTCCTCAAGCCTCCCTAGCTACGGAAATGATAGTGTATATAATAGTGTATATAGTTGCAAAATTGGTAATAACTAATAATTATAAATTTTTTTACTATTGAAATGTGTGTAAGACTCATATACCTATATAATAATAATAAATATTAATAGTTAATAATATGAATTCAATTATTCAATTTTATATAATTATTCATTATATTTGAAAAAAAAGGGGAAAGCAAGTACAGTAGGGGTTGACTGAACTGTCATGGATGTGCCAAATTTAAATTCAATTCAATAGCAGTATTGCACGGAAGATTGGCCTACTTTATAAATATTATTCTATTAGTTATTATAGTAGTTTATTTAATATGAGTGATACCTAATGTAAAAACTATAAATAGGCAATAGCATAAAATTAGTCTAAATGTCATTGTACACAGGTGTACGCACTACGCGCGTATACTTCTAAAATTAATCCAAGACAAAAATAAAACAGTCCATAACCTAAGTTTAGGTTGAGTAAGACATTTTTTTTTTTGAGTGGTGGGTCTAAGACCCAAAATCCTCTAAAATACGAATACATCACTGGAACTACTTATGACTAACTGTATTACGTTTTCAAGCCACTAGAACACTACGTCACTACCTACATCCAATTCGCTATCTTAAACCACCTACAAAGTTGAAAACCTAGCATTTTTTCTACTGTCTATTGTGTGCACAGTCACAACAAAAATATACATATTGTAAAATATGTAAAATCTTAAATCAGTACATTCATCGCTCCGCTGAGAATCGAAAATTTTACTGATAAAAGCAGGATTAGAATTAATTACGAACATTGGGTTACATTATTGATTAGCGGTTGGTCTATATTACTAGTTATATTACAGTTTAAAGTTATAATTAGGTAATTATTTATTAAATATGTAGGTACGTGATGTTGACTTCGTTGAACATAAAATAATAAATAACATACCATAGGTGTAATTTTGTATAAAGTATTCAGTTTGATAAGTTTTCATATAAAATAAATTGTTTCATCTATTCTGTGGTTAGGTATATAGAACTGGGAAGAAACCATTAAATAAACATACAAGACAGTCAAGACTCAAGACACAAATCATCAAAAATGGGTTGTATAAAACCATGACAAAATCTTGTTTATGTTGACTATTTTTATAATAATTTTTTATATGATTTTTATAATCTTTGTTGCCCGTTAAAAATGCCAACTCTATATGAGACTCGATGGTGATAATAAGAGCAGTATATTATGCCTACCTGCTGTGGATTGCGGGCTCCGCTTGATGAGTACTTTATATAAATAATTTGTTTCTTTTTTTGATTTTGATTGCGGACACGCCGATGAGCAGCTATAATTGCAACTCAATCACCATGGTAGTCAATGTGTGAAAATTCAATTGTATGCATGCTTATGCCTGATCCACTGCAGGCAGCCAATAAACAAATAAAAAAATACCAATTTCTACTGAATATATTTATATTTCTCCCACAACCGTATATAAACAAATATTACCTTCATAAATCTTAAAATCCCTGTTTGAGCAACTCCCCGGGGTCGGACCCATTGGGTCCAATTGTGAATCTAAACCATCCAGAGCGTCACCCAAACACATACAAAAAAATCATTCAAATCGGTTCAGCCGTTTAGGAGGAGTTCAGACGTTCAGTGACATACCTACACTGATACACACGACACACCTACAGAAGAATTATATATATAAAGTATATAATATACCTAAGTACCTTTATTATTTATATGTCTTGCTTAATGCTTATATAACACACACTATTTATTTAAATTTACTATGAATTTGATATTTTCACTACCTAAACCTTGCATGGGACTATGGCAGCATCGCCAGCATGATTATTATTTATAAAGAACTTATTATGATCATGGACGTGAGTGTTGTCATTTTAATATGTCTGAACGTTTTGTAAAGTATTGTAGAATTAATTATATCTTACTCTGGATCTAGATTGAAATGATATAAGATTAAAGATACTTAGATACCATGTACATACTTAAATTATCAAAGTTAAATGCTCTACGATTTGGACGTTTGGTCTTAACACAGATTTGTACCGACTAAAAGGACTCTCGACTCCAACAGATGTAATGGGGGGAAATCTTCATGTTTGTGATGTCTAAAAAATGAGGTCAGCGGCTCAGCCTGTAATAATATCCCATTTTTTCTCCAAAGGAAACTTTTGATTGAATATAAGGAGTTTAAACCAATATTTGTATTTAATACTTACATGATAGGTAGGTACTATGCATTTTATCTTTGACTGCCACTATTCTTATATGTCACCCTTAAGGTGGTTTAGGATAAATGAAAAAATGTATATATTCATAAGACTCGATAACCAAATTCATAACAACCATAAAATAGATTGGTATTATTTTGTACACATACTTTTATAAATACAACATTGTCTTAAAATTACTATAAGTTTACTGTTGGCAAATACAATCTTATAATATAAAAAATGGAATTATAGAGAAAACCCTATTCAAAATTATCATGTTTAATGACGAAATATATGATATAAATTATAAAGTATAGCTCATTTTATTACAATCATTTGAAATAAATTTATTAGGAACTTACTCAAATTAAATTTAGTAATATGTATTTACGTAGGTATTATAAATCTTATAAAAATGTTTTTATCTAATGACTTTAAAATTAATAATTACTATAGGTTTTAGTCATAGCTAAATATTGGTTAATATTAAGATAATATAAGTTGCGATAATAATTTTATATTTATCCATGGTTTTAGTATTTAGTGTTATCCAATGTACCTACACAACAAGATCTTTTCAACAAATATTTTATGGAATAGATATCAACTAATTACTATGGAAGTCATAGACAAATTCTAAATGATATAAATATTGTTTTTATAAAAGTTACTATTTTTTAACCAATTTTGTATTTTTATGATAATTATTCGTGGTTTTATTACTGGAATTTTTTTATTTTAGAGGTGAATGGCCCAATGTTTTGGATTCCCTATACAATGTCAATAAAGTCTCAGCAAGCCTATGATGCTATATAATATGAATCCGTATTAACATGCCTAATTTCGGCTCTAAAAATTTTTTTAAAACATAAAAATGGTATCGATTTCAATAAAATTCAAAGATTTATATAAACATATTTTCTGTGATCGTTCCGTAGTCCAGCATTTGGATTATATCGATTCAAGCTGATTGATCCAAGTTTAAATATTGTGTTGTGTTCAGAAGCAGATATGGCGTAAGTTCAAACTATAGGCTCTAGAATGGACGAGTGTATGTGGCGCTGATGCAAATAAATATTAAAATTAAAAAGTTTAAAGTAGGTTTTTTAAACTATTCTATTCAATTGTTGTGATTGCTGGTTGGTATTATCTATGACACTATAGCTTAGGTATCGGCTTTTGCAATAGTTGGTTCTGCAGTAGAACATGGTTTCAATACGAATATAATTTAAGCAATAAACTTATCTGCGGGTTTCAAATAGGTACTAATTAATAATTAAATAATTATCATTATAAAAGAGGGGAAAGAACTAAGTAGGTGACGGTTGTACAGTTGTACAGTACCTACTGTAAGTATTGTCGTCATTGAGTAATGTACCTAGCTGCATTAATTTTGAAATCAACGATAACATTTTATTACGAAAAACGATTTTGATTTCTGACCAAAGCCTGTCTGTCAGCAGTAGCAAAAGTTATAATTTTTTTCAAAAATGTTGTAGGTATTGATATGACAATGTTTTTTTTTTTAATGTCATCGTGTATTTAATGGCTAATACCTATGTAAAATATAATGATATATGTACGTACAAGTTTCAAGAATTTCACGAATAATATTTTTGAGCTACAGTTACAACAAAATAATTAAAATTGTTATTCTTTGTTTAAATATCTAATTTTGTTCCACATATGAATTTCAATAATGTATATTCAAAATTGTGCTGAGATTTGTGAAAAACTGGTTTTGAGTAATAATTTCTGTTTTTCCTAATTTTTTTTCTTAATTACAAGTTAGAAAAGTTCTGTGAAGTAGGAATTTTGAATTTCAAATTCCCTAAACATCAACTTAGATTCACTTTCCTACCAGAAAAGATAGGTACGAGGTAGGTACCTACTACCTAGTATTTAAGTTGAAAATCCAACCATTTTATTTTTTATTACAAATCGTGTGTACATACACAAAAAAAATAAAACATAATATTGTAAAATACTAAAATCAATACGTTGATTACTCCGCTCTGAAGTCAAAAATCAGAATCTATTATTTGAAATCGTTATAAAAAGTAGCTACTGTCTAGCACGGTCGCACGGACTAAGATATTTATATATATACATCTTGGTCCGTGCTGTCGTCTAGTGACTCTTATCAGTTATCTGTTATCAGTTATCAGTTACAAATGAGATGTATTTATTTGTTCTGAAATGTTTCTGAAAGGCCAAGTCAAGTGTCTGCGATTGATATGCAGTTTATCGGAGTCATGACGCGTCGTCATTATTTAAATCCATTAAGATAACGTCCGCTCAGATGCTAGCAAATTGATCGTGAAAGCGGACGTTCATTTAGTGGCCGACTCTGAGTAGACACTGTCAGCACCAGGTATTTTCATTTGCTTTCAACACGTGCAGTGATTATTAATATTTTTACATATTCTGTTCTAGATTTTTATTGGACTGTTCGTGTGTTGATCGATTTCTATTGAAGTTAATTATTATGTCGATTACTAGTATTGAAGATGATGCACTAGCATTACAGAGTTACATCAAGTCATATCCAGATTTCCCTCTGCCTGGAATATTGTTTAGGTATGTATTTAGTTTTTTGATTAATGAATGATGGGATCTCTTAAAATATTTTATGTCGGAGGGCCTCTGTAGTTGTTTTAATCTCTTCAAGTGCTTAGTGTATTGTTATCTACCAACCTTGAATTAGAAGAAAACATTATCATTATGTCGATTTAAAATTAAAACATTAAATAAATACCAATTATATTAAGATTTATAATAATATATAGAGTAAACATGATGTTAATGATTTTACTACAAAACTAATCATAATCATTATTTTGAAGAAGCCCTATAGAAAATAAATTAGGTAATGATCATTATACATTTTAATATTATAGAATGTATACAATTATACAACTATTAATCCTAGGTTCTATGAAGTTTTTAAGGTGACCTTAGAAATGTTAGCAATTTTTTGATTATTGGTTAAGAGGCCAACTCTTGTAAATATATCATCACATTTTCTACTGTATTTACTATTTTGTATTATCTGACGATAAATCAATTATAGTTTTAATAGTGAATTAATCTTAAATAATTAAATTTGAATAATGAAATTTGTAATTATATTTACAGAGATATATTCACTGTCTTCCAAAGTACTGATGGATTACAATTGTTGAATAATATTTTGAAAAAGTATGCGGTTGAAATTGCTGGTAAAGTTGATTGTGTTGCAATGTTGGAAGCTCGAGGATTTTTGTTGGGTACTTTAATGGCATTGCACTTAAATGTTCCCTGTGTTCCAGTTAGGAAGAAGGGAAAGTTACCTGGCAAAGTAGCTCAACTAGAGTATAGTTTGGAATATGCTAAAGTAATTATTAATTGTATTTTGTTTTATGTTTATGTGTGAACTATGAAAGTAATTAGTTTAATATAATATACAATTTTATTTTATTTTATATGGCAAATATTACTTATTTGTTATTCAGTTGATGAAATAAAATTCTAATAAATATAATATGCCTATTGGGTATTGATATTACTAATAAATATGAAGATTTATCTCAGAATAATTAATACGTTATGAGGATTTATCAAATTTATAAGAAAAAATTAAACTAGGTTACTCACTTTTGTTACTATCATTATCGCGCATAATATTTTAGTTATCGTCTCAATTTAAATGTTTGAAACATAGTAAATACAAACTATTTTTAAAATACAAGTCTTTTAAATTAAAGTATTAAACAACAAATTATACATTATGTACTAAAAAATAATAGAAATTTAATTTAAACCTTTCAAAATGTTCTAATCTACATTGCAATTAAAATATTTCTTTAGCAAAAACTATATCACAAATATTTTACTAAATATTACAGACTTATAAAAAATTAATTTATTATCAATCTCCAAATATGTAGTTAGCATTTTTGTTTACATATTTATAGAAAAATGAAATCAATTAACTTGTGTATAATTTTGTAATAAAAATATTTAGATATGAGTCTATTCTTATCAAACTAAATATAATTCACCTTAAAAATTGAAACTTTGAAAAAGGTTATTTACTTCATTATTTGCTAATTTAATTTAATTAGCAAGTAAATTTGTTTACACATTATATTTTAATAAAAAAAATACATTTTTAAAATAAGGTGTTTGCTTTTAGGATGTTTTGGAAGTTCAATTAGACGTCTTAAAAGAAGGAAAGAGAGTTCTGGTCATTGATGATTTGTTAGCAACTGGAGGTATATGATAAAATTAAATAGCTAATTATTTATTTCTTATTTTGTCTGTGATACATTGTCTGAATATACATGAATTATTTTAAATAAATAAGTGTGGTTTACCTAATTTGCTAATTTTATATCAATATTTTTAAGGTACACTTGAAGCTGCTGTTCAACTACTGAGGAAAACTGGAGCAGAAGTAGTTCAAGCAGTAGTTATTATGGAACTTTGTGATTTAGAAGCACGGAAAAAAATTGACATTCCAATCAAATCATTTATTCAATACTAAATGTGTTATATATAATAAATATTTTAAGTAAATCATTTTTTTTTTAAATACAATAAATATTTTTGAAATAATTATTATTTTAAATTGGGGCTTTGAACATATATTTGTTTTGGTGGAAGGTGGCTAAGCCCTCCCCCCCCCCAATCTATGCACCCAGAATTCCTTCTTATGTTTATGTTTTTACATGATATATATTATTTGTTTTTAATTAATTTTATTGTGTATGAAAAATAATATACCTTTGTACTTCATGGCCAAAAGTTTTAAATTTATGAATAATAATTTTTGAGGTACAACAAAATAATTTAAATCACAATATTCGTAATATGTATTTTTAATATTTATTATTTATTTAAATTTAATACCCTAGGGTAGTAATGTTACAGATAATATTTAAGAGGTTATACATACTTAAAGGTTAAAACTATAACCATAGAAAAAAAAGAAAATTGATAACAATTTACGAAATATTTTATAGAAAAAATTGTATTTAAACCTATGTTATTCAAATTTATTAATTTATGAATTAACAACTACAAAAAAATTTGCCAATTTTTGTGATATTGATGTATTTTGGTAAGCTTATAATATTTATTGATACTAGTAAAATTGTTATTATTTTTTTAGATACCTTTAAATGTTTGGACTTTGGGTATATAATGTTTTAGTGTGCCTGCCTTTCAATCAGCAGTGCCATATGGTGATGATATAATTAGTGGTTGTAAATTAATAGAAGACAATTCACAGATAAATTTAAATGATTGTAGTATGTCAAACAAAAACACAAGTTTAAACGTATTTTTTTAAATATGACGTAATAATTTCTATAATATTAATCATATTATTATGTAACATGAAGGTACTTGGAATTCAACGGACCAATGGGACATCTGAATAATATGTGGCATTTTGGGTTTCCTAATATTATATGGTGTACCCTAGACTGGTGTGTGGGCATGTGGTTGTTTTCTACTGTGTGATTTTTGAACTAAAGGCCTTGTAATGGTTTTTTTCACATTCACTAATTTTTAAAAAACCACTTACACATAGTGCGACATTTAAAATTTGGAATTCAAAAAGTTCCAAATCAGCAAATTTTATTTTTTATTTTAAAGCCACTAGTATAAAGCTATGATGACTTAAAAATTACCTAATAGATAAATAAACAATACACAATTAAGATTAATAACAGATTAGTTCATTATATATTATATTATAAAACCAGCCTCCAGTATAAAGGTGATTATCATTTGTATAGCTGTTACAGATTTGGTGTTTAAAATAGAGTAAAGATTGAGAGGAATATTAAGAGATTTAAGAGTGTTAAATATAATTTGTCGTTTAAACTGCATGGCAGGACAGTTGAATAAAATATGAGGGAGGTCAAAGATACACTCATTTGAATGAAGTGTACGAAGCGGCGAGTAGTTAGTCCAAGTTTAAAAGAGTGCCTAGGTAATAAGGAATCAGCAAATTATGTAAGCTATAGTCATAATTTCTTTCCTTCAAAAAATTACAATAGTTTTCTTTTGATACTCAACAACTGTTTTAACTATTTACCTATTTAGTATTTTGGTATAGGTTCACACGAAAAAAAGTAGATACTTACATTTAAAATTCGTATTGTCGAGAGTTCTGTCTTATAAATATTTTTCAATGTTTGATGATTTTCAAACAAATTGAAAGTGGATAAACGTAATATTTAATCAGGGGACCATATTGTAATATTACCCTAATGATTTCTATTTAAAAATATTTGTTGTTCATTTAGTTATATATGTTAAAATAGTTTTAAAGTTAAGTACACTTACCCAGTTTTGTATGATATAGGTAACTAATAATTATTTATTAGACGTTGTATGCATTTTATTTATTTGTTAAAAAGTTAAGACTAATAACTATGAGTACTGTTATAGGCCTATATGGCTATATACCTACTCACTGTACTTATACTGTTTATTAGACTGTTATTTATGTTTATTAGATGAATTTATGATATTTTATTTGTCGTTAAAACTTAAAAAGTTAAAAATATTAGTACATAATGCAATTTTAGTGATTGAAAAAAGATATGACGTGTTACATTTATCCTTGGCGCTGTTACAATTTGTTTTTTTTTTTAAATTCGCATTTGTTCAACAACTTATAAATATTCATATATTTATAAATGTAATATATGTTGCGTAATTGGTTAAAAATGTATGCTAACAAAGAAGATCTGAATCCTGTTTTAAATCCTACTCCCTCCCAAATTACACTTATGCCGTATCGGCACTTGTATCTATTTGTGGGTGTCTGCTACTAACAGTTCATCACCAGCGATGTAATCGGTCGTAAAAATATCAGATACCTAGTGGCAATTGTTTAGTGGTTATACAGTTAACTTACCTACACAAACTCAATTAAGAACTTAGTAATCACGTGATTACTTTATTGAGGTTTTATTTAGATTTCACAAATCTAGGTGTATTATTAGGTAGGTATATAGGTTTGTTAATTATATTGATGTTGATATTAATTGTATTACGCTGAGCTCGACTACAATAGCGAATACCATAAATATCTAGATGATTGATGTCGCCGGAATGTCTTTGCCCGAAAACTGTCTGTTCGGGAATCGTTGTGAATGGGATAGCGTGGTATGCGTGGAGTAAACGTTTGGCGGCCGACAGAAAATATCGCTCTTGAATAAAATAATTAATAAGCCGTAGGTAGGTAATAGCATTATGGTCGTTGCCGGTTGATCGCCATCCGTTCTTCGTATTAATTCGGTGACCACGCTCCTCAATGTTTGTGTCTTTAGCCGGGTTCACAGCCACGTCATCAGTCATGTCGTGTCCAAAAGTCAAGCTCGGCCTAACCGAACATTTTCTGGTAATCTTAGTTACCCAGTGAGTGATAGCATCGGCACTTTCTTTTTCGTGACCGTCGCGTCGTGCCGTTTAATTTTCGATTGAATCATCTTTGCTTCATGCCGTTATCGTTCGTGAATGTTCATAATATTAATATCTGTATAGTGGTCAACGATTCTTATACGTATGTTCGAGATGCTCATCAATTCCCCCAGCTATTTACCGTCCGGAGGATTATGAACAAAAAAATAGTTACGCATGCCAAGTATAATCTATGTGACTACATTAATTACGGATTCCTTGTTAATTGTGATATTATATAGGTAGGTACAATTTATTCATACTCTTCTAACAGTTACCACTCATCATATAATGATACAAAACTAGCTAGGATCATGAAAGGGTTTTAAAAAACATTATATTAGTTATTACTATATATTATAATATCACGAAAGTAATGTCGTGGTTACGAATTAGTTACTAAGCAGTGGTATATTTTACTGTGGAAAATTCTGACATAGGAGTGCCAGGGTAACGTACCTCAATAACATTAATCTAAAAGTGCCGTAAACATGATTTTGAAAATTTTTAATTTTTAAAAAAATTAATACATAATATAGATACTGAAAATGATCGATAGTGTGAAATTAAATCAGGTACCTACTTTAATACATTTTTGATCTGTGGAAGCCATTTGGAATGTTATTGGGAATTGTTAGAGATGGTACCTATTTGATATTTTGATATACTATTACTGTTACTTATTCATCATAAAAATTCTCTATATTTCTCATATTTATATAAAACTTAAGCACAGATGGTACAAAAATATGTTTTTTTATTACTAGAATAAAATTAATAAACTGCATTTGCTCTCTTATTGTTATTTATTACCCACTCATTTTATGTTTGGTTAATAATTGTTTTCATTATATATTTTTTTTACCAGAAAATCAGTTTTAAAATTAATAATAGATGGAAAATTTACTGTCGTTATTTTTCTTTGACTTTTTAGTCTCTCACAAACATTTAAAGATGTCCAATGTTCATTAATTTTTAACCGATTTTAATTGAACGTATGGACTGCTTAATATTATAACCTGTAGCTTTGTGATAAAATGTTTTATGGATATTAATCTAATGATAATTTGGTATCAAAATTAAAAAAAATGTATTCAAATGTTTTACATAGCAATATATCGTAGTTTGCAATTTAGGAAAAAAATTCTATAGTAGGTAAATAAACCGTTCGATTTATCTAGCCTGAAATATATCGTTGAAGTATCGAACAAAGATTGATTTTGGTAGGTATGCATTACAAATGACTGCAATATATTATTATATTTAATTTATATGCCACAGAAACACAGTAAATAACGCAAACGAGCGCACTAATAAATGTTCTTAAATGACTCGTTGAAATGCTCTTCGCAATGGGATTCCGGCTATCCTACACGTAATGCTATATAATATACATGTTTTTTACATTAAATAAGTTTCTCACGTTGTCTTTGCAATTGTTTTTCTTATAATATAACGATGCCATTCAGGATATCTACCTAACTAATTTAAATAAACTAGTGTGATACACGTATACACATTAATATTAATTAAACTCTAAAAACTATATAATTATATATTAATATAGTTTCTTTGTAACTGTAGAATATTATAATATGCCGCCGAGTCCATCATGTTTCGGGAAGACGATTATCTTTTATTTTAGACTGTAGGAGACGTGTTAAACACGTACGCTTAATACGCATTTAGCATAATATTATACTACAACATGAACATTCAAACAACCCTATAGATCGATTTAACATTTTTAAATACCCTTGAGACGTATAGCTAGTCGTTATAAGGTCTAAAGGCTCTATTCCACTTCGGTCGAGTTCACATAATGTACCTAACTATGTGAAAATATAATCTTTGATTCGTCAATTTATGTTATTGACCAATATATACAACTTGATGTCAGGATACCGTTAAATTGAAATACTCCAGTCTCCAACTCAAACGGCGTGTACCGTATGGTTATAATTTTTTATCAATACCCCATGCAAAACAACTGTAATCAAATATCAATATCAAACGTAATAATATACCAAACCCAGATGGCCAGATGGCAGATTACTATCCTGGGGACCACGATTTAAGATAGTACTATCTTAAATCGTGCATGGAGACTCTGGAATATTGTAAATATGCCCTGGGTATCGGGAACCGACGAAGCCGATATAGATTTGCACGGGACAAGCCATGGCCTTCTAAATATTTTTTTATCAATATCACTGAGAGAAACACTATATTATTATTATTATTTGTTTATTTCTCGGAAACAAAAAATATTTAAACAGTTTGTGATGACTAGAGTAAGAGGTGGAACTTTTGGATTGAATCATTTAGAATAACAATACGCTTCTTAGAACGGCTGACCACTTACCTTAAAAAATTCCACAAAACGAGTGAGTTTCACTGAGTTATTAGCCTATTACGCACTATCGTCACTGAATAGTGAATATTCTTCCAATATCTACTACTATCTGTGAAAACCCTTAATTTAAGTGACTGGTTGTCATTATTATGAACCGAATCAAGTATTTATAATATGCACTTCATTGGATTATTAATTATTATAATATTGTTATAGAGTCAATATCATGTTATATTTAATAATTAACGAATTTTATTATCTTCCAAAACCAATATTATATACTTATACAGGTACTATTATAGATGAAAGTTAAGACTTGTGAAGCGTGTTGAAACTTGAAAGAATGAATGGATTAGGATAATAGCGCATGCACTACTCTGAGATTAGTGAAGTGTTCAGAATTTTTTACACCCCGATGATAATTTTCCACCCCTCTATATATATTAATTTCTGACGGGAATAATGAATTTAATACTTTCGTGTTTTATAATTAATAAACCGAAAAAAAACAAGTACCAAATAGAAAAATATGAAATTATAACATTCATTAAGAAAAAAAAAATATAATATAAAATAATAAAAAAAAAAATAAAATATAAATATAATTTAGATAATATAAATAATTTAATAAAGTTTACGATGTTCATACACTAAAAACTTATTTTTAATGATTAGAAAATAAGCCCGGATCATAAATAAGATAAATAATTTGTTATTATATTAATATTTATAATGAAAATAATAATTATAAACACATATCAATATGCCTCTATAAAAAAATTCCACCTGGTGTTATTGCCTGTTCTCTCTGCTATCATCTAAAAACTTCTCTGGCCGAGGTGCGCGTACCGGGAACGCATGCCCGAACAGCTGACAACGCGAATAAATAGTGTAGTAATAAATTGAAGCCGAGTGAAAATACAGTCCCAGGGTAGTGATATATTTAAAGTTTAATATCAATTTATATTCGTATCGTACGGTTAATAAACATCGGTGCTATAATCTTCGTCTAAATTAATTAAGGTTGATGTTGATTAAGCTTCCATTTCCGTATATATAGCGAAGAATTCTAAAAGATTAGTTGCTTATTATGCCAATTGCCAGTAGATTATATTAATGTCGGTTCCACAAAATCCTCTGATCAAATTTATTTTAATGCATTTTTCTGTTTGTATATATGTGTATTATTCGTTATATAATGAATAAGGTTGGTTTATTTTTTCATTTTCAAAACAGTTTTGTTCTTTTTAAAATTATGTTTTAAACGAAATAAATTGTTTGAGTTCTTAACAGTTTTAAACAAAATGTATTTTTACTTTTAGTTAGAATATTATTTCACCATTAAAAAAAAAAAAAAAAATGTAAATTGAATTACTTGTTATGTATTTATACTTATTATTATAATAAAAACAAATAATTATAAACAAATATCAATAAATTAAAAAACACTGTGGAAAACATAACACTCCTGTATTTTAGAAACGAATACCTAATTAAAAACAACTCTCCGATAAATCTTATCATGTTCTTGCATATTATGCTTATTCACGTTTCGTTACACTTCTTCTCCTTGTTACTATTTAATTACCTACCTTATTTATTTGTTGGTAAATAAATATTCTATTGTTATTTTTATGTTATTAAATAAATCTATTTCTAATCGCAATGATAGATATCCATGTCAAATTCAATATAGTATGATCTAGTATTATAGGATTTTATTTTCAGACCGTTATTCAAACGCATTTCATATGTACAATTTTTTCTTTCTATTTACTCAGTACTCACTGTATATTATCTGTACCATAGCTCGTTCACGTAAATGTTTGATGTCTTGTACACATTTTATGTAACTATTATTATTATCATTGGGTGATTTAAACTCAAATATTCAATATACCACGTTAAATTGTGTCAGAAACACAATAGTGCCTAAATAGGGTTTCGTACCGTGTTTACAATGTTTTTATTATTATTATTATTTATCTAATGCGCCAATATGCATGTACATATGTACAAATAATATCATATGAAAATTCGATTGCTTTCGAGTTGAACCGATTCTGACACATTAGTCCCAAGCTATTCCATGATTTTAACCTGATTAATTTATAATTGTAGTCCGAAACTACATCATAGGGATACCTCTCCAATATCCCAGTGGGTGGCTTGTAAATGTTGTAATTAAACAATATAATATTATAAATGTATGAATAAATAAATGCAGACTTAAAAAACACACACGTTGTTTATTTCACTATTTGCAATACGTTTCCCGTTTACTATAATAATATTATATATTATTATTTTATATAATATAATTATTAATCTCCAACAAATTTTACATCATTTTGATGACATTTTAAGGTATAATAATAATAATATTCATCTTCTTCTTCATCACCGGTTTTACTCCACCATTTTGGCCGTAGAATCTGCTGCTTTCCTAGCAAAATAAAATTATAGTCCTTCTTTAAATCAAAGGTGTAGCATTGTTTCTCCTGAAATGGTTTGAATAGAATATATATGGTTTTCTTTATAGCTATCAGACAATTTTTTAAATGATTATTTTTGCTTTCGTAATGTCCTGCATTATTATCCTTAAAAAAAAAAAAAATAATAATAATAATAACGGTCTTAAAAATGATCTTACCCGTAAAGCTACTTTATAATATAATACAATGCTTAATTAATATAATTATTGATATTGCTTAAATAAAAAAACAAATCCGCGAAACAAACTCGTATCCGGTCGAGCCACCAAGAACGTAATAATGCTTTTTATGGCTTTTCGCGTACAAATAATAATACAATATAATATATGAATAAAAACTTTATCGCCAATATTACAGCGCGATGGAGTCGTCCTTGTCGGCGCTGCAGTCTTCGTCACCCGACCGGAAAGGCAATGGCGGACTGATAATGGGCGCGACGCCACCAACACCTCCACCTCCGCCGTCGTCTGGGTCGTCTACGACGATGGTCGGTGGCTCTACGGTGGATCGAAACGTGGCCGGAATGCCAATCGTCCCAGGCCCCGTGGTCGTCGTCGGGTACCCCCCCTGCGCGGTAGTACGCACCACCTGCACCGTGTCGTCGTACGCGGTCAACACAGCCGCTCGTCTGCGTTGCCTCCGGACCGTGGTCCCAGCTCCTCCACAGCGGTTACCGGCCATGGCTTCGGCCGCGGTCGCGTAATACGCACCCAGACACTCGATGCCACACTGCACCGGTATCTGTATGGAAACGTAACCGGTGGCCGGCGGACATTCAGCCCAAACGATCTGTTCGAAATCGATCTCCCATCCGGTGCGTTTCACGTCGCTCACCACGTCCGGATTGCTCTCGGCCGTCGCGACGGTGGAATCGTCAGCCTCCGCCGCCGTTACCGTCACTAAGGTGCCAGTCGCCCTCGCCGACGTCGGACGGTGAGCTGTGGGCACAGAGAGCTCCTTGTCGGCTGTCGTGCTGACGGTCCGATAGCCGTCGGCCGCAGGTGCGGCGGGCCTTCGCTTGGCGGTGGACGACGAGTCACCGGTCCGGCCACCTGTGCCCGAGCGTTTCGCTCGCCTGCACCGGATGGCCACCAGTACGGCGGCCGCGGCCGACAGCGCCACCGAGCCTGCAGCCAAACAACCGACGTACAGGAGTGGTCGGCCGTCGCCTGCACTGGTCCCTCCACCCCCGCCTGACGTGGCCGACGACGACTGAGACGGCGCGGATCGGTCATCGACGGTACCGGCGGTTAGGAACGGTCGACCGGGTCGGATGGTGACCGTAAAGTTGACTCGAGCCCTGCCCGCCCGGTTCTCGGCCACGCAAGCGTACGAACCGGCGTCGGACACGCTCGCGTTGTACACGTAAAGCTCGGCGGTCGTGTTTCCGTCCACGGTGATGAGCTCGGACGCGTTGTGCCGATACACGGGCAGGCCGCCGTACAGCCACTCGACCGTGGCCGCTGGGATGGCGGCCACCAGGCACCGGAATGAAACGTTGACGCCCTCGGCCACGTCCTGCACCGGCTGCGTCGCTGGATACGCGGCCGGCGCGCACGCCAGTTCGGCCACCGATACTCGGCGCACCGGCACGTTGGCGTAAGCTGCTGGGCCCGAACACACAGGATCCTCTGTGACTGGCACCCGTGAAGCGGTAAGCCACCGGTGCATGTCGACCATGTGGCAGTCGCACTGCCAGTCGTTGCGGTGCAGGTCGACGCCATGCAAACGGGCGGGCAGTGTGTGCGGTCCGGGAACATGAGTTAACAGGTTGTCGTCCAGCCTGAGCCAATCGAGGCCGCTGAGATCGTCAAACGCGCCTTCCGCGACGGAAGTCAGCCCGCAGCCGCTCAGGTCGAGCGCGGTCAGCTGGCCGAGGTGCCGGAACGCCCTGGCAGGCACGTCGCCGATCGGGTTGCCGCTAAGGCTGAGCTTCATCAGGGACGGGCACTCGGCGAATGCGCCGGTCGGCACCTGCCGCAGACAGTTACCGGACAGGTCCAGGTCGACCAGGTTGGTCAGGCCCCGGAATGCTCGGTCGTGCACGTAGTACACGTTGCAACGGGACGCGTGGATGCGCTGCAAGTTAGACAGACCGGCCGCGGCAAACGTGTCGTGGGGAAGCCCGGCCGCCGACAGATCGTTATCCGATATGTCCAGCACTTGCGTGGCCGGGTCGATACCTAGAGCCAACGTCACGCTCGTCACCTTCTTGTCCACGCACTCGACCGTCTGCTTGCCGTTTTTCCACTTGCACGCGCACCCCGCTGGACACCCCGGTGACGACGAGATGGTCATCGTCGTCATCGTCGTGGTCATCATCATCATCATCATCATCGCCGTCGTCTTCGTCGACGTCGACAGAACCATTACCGCTGTGTGCCAACACTCATATTGCATATCCAGTCAGAATCATCATCGTCAGAATCATCCTGCAACAAATAAGTTTATCATCGTGATAAGTTATGTAAGTAATATAATATTTTGGAAAACTATTTGCGTATCATAATAGTATTCACTCATGTGCATAATATCATCGCATACGGGCGTGATGTGTTTTTAAAACCCCGTCCACCACTACTATCACCACCACCACCATCTACACCACCACCACCACCACAGATTTAGAATTTTTTTTTTTATATATATTCCCACGGTTTTGTCTATATAGGTAGTGTAATATTTATACGATTATAACGACTGCGATCGTCGTGATGGCAGCCATCGATGCGGCTATAATGAGATTGCGGAACCAGCGTTAATCTTACTAAATGTACATACCAAATGGCTTTTGCAAAATTGATTAGGTACTACATATCTTGTAACCACCTACATACTCGCTATCGGCAGAATTAAATCGCACATTCGAGCATGACGTTACGAAATGGTGTGTAGTAAGTCTTCCACGCACTTCCCTCACCTTCGACGTGAACATATTCGCCTTTTACACTTGTTATGTTTTTATTTTTCCTCTTTTATTTATTTTTATTTTTTCAAATACACTCCAACCGATATTCGCCAACCATAATACCTTGTGTATTACCGAGATGGCCCATTCTTACAATTACCAACATTCTGCCTCAAACGTTGATCAATATCTTTTGGATTCTGAGCGGAGCGATGAATGTATTGATTTTACAATGATGTGTGTTCTTATATTTATTTATTTTTTTTGAGTCTGTCATCACGGTTTCTTGCAGTAAAAGTGCTTCGATTTTCTTCTACACTAACTTTTCTGTTAGGAAAGTGAATCTAGTTGGTGCATTTGGGAGGTCAAAATTTAAAATTCCCAATAGTTTTCGGAAAAATAAACAACAAATTTAAGGAACAACCGGAATTTTTACGTAAAACCAGGTTTGGAAAAAATCGATTTTGGTTTTTAGTGTGACTCTAACTAAAATGACTGTAGATATATGACATTTTCACTGAATATTTTGATTTGTGTTGAACTATTTATAAGCATATGCAATGTTCGATTATTATTTGTTTTTTTTAATTAATTATATTAATTAATATATTTATCAAATTGAAAATTGAAAATGATGTTTCAGTTAAAAATGTATAAAATTTTCAATGTTCATAGCTAAGGATTGAACATTTAAAACGAGATTCCACTTAAGCAGTTTTTCTCGTAATTAAGGAATCTAAAAAATATATGAATATGGTTATGTTTATGGACATTTTAAGTTCAAATTTGGACAAAATTGCATATTAACACAAAAAATAACGTTTATCATTTTGTTGTAATTGGTTCCAAAACCGCTCAATTTTACATATAGGTATATTTAATATTTTTCCAGCATCACTGATAGTTTAAGAACAATATTAATTCATCTTACCGACTACCATATTAATAATAATTAATAAGTATATAAAAAATCCTAACCTAACATACCGTCTCAGCTCAGAGTCGTTTTTCGTATACAATGATTTGATATCGTTGAATTCAAATTTAATACCATCTGTTACAGCGACCTCTTGGACACCTAATGTACAACAGAGCTACATCCACTTACCTGCTTTTTTAAAAATATTTTTTTTTGTGTGAACAATTTACGATATTGTTTAGATTCTATATAATATAATATAGTTTTACATGAGTATTTTATAATCATATTGTATTCGTTATTTTTTTTCTACACGTCAGTGACCGGCATCGTTTGGAAGTATCCTATTAAGACGTTAATGATATAAGTCGTACATAGTAAGTACTTTATGTAAAATCTTGGGGAAATTTTAATACATTTATCACCAAATACTGCTGCCATCTCCAAAGTAATCGAATTATTAGACTACAAAACTACGTTGTGCTCGTGCTAATGTAGACGATATTATAGACATAGTATTTTTTACTAAATGTTTTATTGAGACCTAACATTTTTGCAACACATAATGACAAATAATACGCCAACCTCTTAATCATTATATTCTACTGGTCGATTCTTTTTTCATTTTACACTTATAATTTCAAAAATATAAATGTGTATGGAAAGAGTAACATTTCAAAAACAATATATTTTCATACCTATATTTTGTATATATTTTTTCAAAAGTTTTTTACTGTTTTGAATGTCAACAGAAAATTTTAATTTCATATTCCAATGCAGAATATTTTTTAAGTATTTCGATGCATATAAATCGAATAAAGTGGAATAAAGTGGTACGTAGTTACTAAGCAATATGATAGTCTACTACTCCGATCATCTAAATTTGAAATATTATAAATTCATAAAATAATTATCCTAAATTTGATATTTATGTATCGAAATACCCAAAAAAATATTCTGCTTTCTAAAATGTTATTCAAACTGCATTTTGTAATTCAAAAAAGTAAACTTGGAAAGTTACAAGGATAAAAAATATTTAAAAACATAATTTGAATGAAAAACGGTTCTTTTATAACAATTTGAAATCAAGTGATACTGTCTTGATACTCACTATGTAATTTCATACCGAATTGTTCTTTCTACACTACGTTACAAGAAAATTGCTGACATGAGTATATTTCTTAAATTACTTACTACTCATATAATGTTAAAAAATTTTGTCCAACATTAAGGTAGCATCATTTTTTTTCTTTTTGGCCTGGTCTATCTGTTATACCTTGCATAGTTATCTAAATTAAAAGATATTATATAATAAATTTTATGATTATGATGCTGTTGTTATTCTATACAGTAATGTACCATTATTGCCTATACAATGCGCCGCGTTTCATATTATTATACAAATAAAAAAATAAAGCGGATACAGAGTTATGTTTGATTTATGATTTATGAGAACCATGTGCGGTCACTGACTTTCTTCAGTCAAATCAAAAGAAAACAATTTGGTATCATTATTTCATTATCAGTATCGTTGTCATATTTCATTACGTTTGTGACATATATTAAATATATTTTAATTGAACACCCAGCACACCTTTCAGATAATTTTTATGACCTAATTTAAATTATATTTTAAATTTATTTAGTTATTTGAGCACTCGGTATATTCTTTAACGAAACTGCCCTACGACAATGCATTTCATTTGATATGGTGAGTTCTTTTGGAGCTATATTTTTACACCACAATTTTTGAAGTTCACTCATTTTGTTGTAGAAAAGTTCTTAATAAAAACAGCAGGTGAAAAAATTATTTTACGTGATTTATTGTATGTGATTTTTTTTATTCCTATAGTTGTATATTTTACCATTGGAAGTTATGACTTTGACAACTGTAAATGACTGCGTATGAATTGTTGTAAATTCTTTTGAATTCGTTGAAAAGTTTTTTCAAAGGTATAATGGCGTTTGATACTTATTTTTTTTTAATTTAAAATAATCTTAATGGTTCACATTATAATATGTCGAAGTTCAAAAACTTGCAATTAGTGTAATAAACATTGTTTGCACGTCAAAAAAAATGTGTTGATTTTAATGTTAACCTTGGAATAAATAATAAATTATGAATACATAATATTGAATTACCAAATACCTACCTATAGGCATAACACATGGCTTGTTTAATACACTCATTTAATTTAATTTGTGTTTTTGGACCCAATATTTGTAGATGTAAAAATGATCATACAAATCGAATTTAATTGATCAATGTTGAATGTATAATATTATATACTGTGTTATATCATTCTGAATTATATCCTGTACACGGGGTTAAAGTGACTTGTCTGCACTTTTGTTACAATACACATATCGTAACTATGATAATAATATGAAAGCATTTACGATGGCGTGGCATTTATTATATACACAAGCAATTTTCTATCAAAACACGTGTTTTGTTTGACGTATCGAACGTGGCGTGTTAGTAGTTGCTGTGTATGTGTTGATGGCGCATATTATAATATTTGGTTTTGCATATATTTTGGAGTTAGGTACATTATATCTGTCTCGCATGTGTTCTATTTATTCGTTTATATAGGGAGTACGTAATAAAATGGTTGCCGACACATGATCAATTGGAATCACCATTTGTTATAGGCAACCGAATATCGATAAAACGTATATTTATTACATTATCAGTACATTATGTATAACTAAAAAGTGTACAATACCTCAAATAATAACAATAAATTATAATGTTTAACTATTATAGGGCAAAAACGGGGATCACGATGTATTTATAATCCTTATTAAGTTTAAACACTAATATACAACTATGAAAATTAAAAATAGCTTATCCTAGGAAAATGCCAAATAATAGGTCATAGCTCATGCAATATACTTCCTTAGTAATATTACTATTTTTGAAAAAAAATCATAGGGATGGCTAGGAGTCTCAGAAATATGTGTATCTATATGATGTTATCTTTTCAATTTAACAAGTAAAAGTGCAGTTTATTGAACAAAAGTAATTTTGTAGTTAAATAGGTGCCAATCTTGTGTATAATTTTGCTAAACATTTTGTGACAGGATTAAACATTTATCATGGAGAAAAGTTGTCAATGAATAAATAAATTATAATTGAATACCTAACAAAAACGCTGCTTAAGTGGAAGTTACACTTAGACGTGCTGTCTTGGTCTCAGATTAAAATGAGCAATTTTTATTCTGAAGATTTAATGTATTGTTGTTAGTTCTAATATTAGAATGAATCAAATTATCATCAAGCTTAAAAGTAAAATCATTTAACTGTGTTATTTATGCCAATTGTCAGTTTTATACAGTATTTTTAATTTTTATGAAAGTTAATACAGCAGGACTCTATAAAGTATATAATGTTGTGATGATACTATAGATTCGAAATTTAACATGAATGTTATTGTAAGTGGTCGATTTTTAAAGCTTATTTGTAGTTTCAAAGAAAATTGAGAACAAAACGGTAAAGCCATTTTGAACAAAACGTGTTTTGTTGTAATTTGAAAAATAATAATAATATCAGAGACTCTACTCGAGATGTTGCGCGTACCAGAAAGGGACTATGAGGGTCC